TTGAACACTGATTTGTATGTTTGTTTAGGTTTTCCTTTTCAATGGAATGGATAAATTTCAATTTCAATGCCTTCCAGTTTGCAAGATTTGCTTTCAATATTTGGAACTTGCCAAAACCTTCAAAAGTTGAAGGTTCTTGTGCTCCATTCCTTACATTTTTTGGTTAAAGACCAAGATTTCTAACTGATTTTAAATAAATACAATACAAATTTTGCGAACATTTAAACAAAGGAGCTCAATATTATTGTAGATCACTCAGGTTGATTAAAGAGGAGCATTTCAAAGGCTTACATACTTCTACGATGCTATGGATAAGAAGCAGGAAAGAAATGTTGAGCTGCCACGCCAGAGAGTTTTTGTTTTTGTTATTCAATCCCATCTTGATCAAAACATTTTGTACTCCCTTTCTCTAACTGTATCGCTATGAAAATACTTGTAAATGCTAAAAACTATAGCTTCTATTTTGATGGAAAAACCATCATAACTTGTTTGGATGTGATTCTAAATTATGTGTGCCACAGTTGACTTCAAATATAAGTCTGTGCCATAGGTTTCATAATTCAATAAGAACATCCTTTTCCTTTTTTCATGATTTCGTGCTTCAGTAAAACTTATATTTGTCTTACCAGCACATAAACAAGGAGTGTTGTCTTCAAGCTTGACGTTTTATGTGGAATTTACAGCGGCATTCACAATAATGTCAGCTATTTCATCTTTGTCAGAATGAACTCTCAACAGCTTTGCTTTGAAGAATTGGACCAAAAAAAAAAAAAATCAAATTATTGGAGTAGATTTTCTGTTTGAAGTTTTTAATGACACTGACATAAAACCATTGTCATTTCACTGTATGAAATTGTAACTTTCTGTTGGAGACAAGACATTACCAAGTATTGTTTTATTTTCTCTCTGTGCACAAAACACTGGAATTAAAGAAATGAGCTAAATTACTTTTGATGAGTTTGAAAAGTCGTGCTTTGTGGAGTGAAATGTAAACACACCTGCTATTTTAAATTGTCATCAGGCACAGTCTTTGAAAGCAAGGGGTAATGTGTCTTCAGATGATTTGTATCTTCTACTGTTCAAATCCTCATGGACACTACTAAGACATCTGCTGTGGATGATAAATGGCGACAAACATTTTGGGCAAAATATATGTTCATCATTAACTGTCTTGAGTAATATGCACTTCTGTTTTTTGCTACCAAAAGTGCTCACTGCAAAATATGAAAATGATACCAAACAATCATATATATTGTCTGACTTTTGCCTTGTTAAAAAATGGACCAAACTACTGTAGCAAAAGCTTTTGGACTACTGTCTAATACACTATAGATGGACGTCATTTACACCTAGGAATCAGCCCAGTGGGCAACGTGTTGGTGTCATGTGCTGAGTCATGGACCACAGTATAACTGGCTAGTACACCAGTGGCTGCCAGGGGCAGCAGATTTGAATATTTCTGTCATCACCACCCTAGACCTAAGATATGAGCTGTCTCTAGATCCTATGTCTGGGTGATTTCTTCTCTTCTTTTTTTTTTTTTTTTTAAATTTTTAAGCAGGGGGCACCTTGCTTGCTGTCCTTGGACAACAGATTTCATTCTGGAAAGAATCAAATAGAGAGACGAGATTTGGCTGATTAGTCTTTCAGATTTAAATACATGTCGACATGAGAGCCCTGCTCACTGTGTGCATGTCCCCCGCACTATTAGACTGACCATGGTAGCAGGTAGAAGTACAAAAATGGAAGTCTACCCAGCTGTTAATTAAAAGGTGAAAGGTCTGGGACAAATGCTGCACTGCTGCACTGCGTCCTGCTGCACCAGGACGCCAGGACAGCAGGTGCCAGTAAAGGCTGTCCTGGGAAAACCGTTCAGTTGTAAACGTGCTTTTCTTTCCTCCCCTCCTTCCCTGCTCCCTTCCTCTCTCCCTCCCTCCTTCCTTCCTTTACCTTGCTTCTCTTTCTTTCCTCCCTTTCTCTTTTTCTTCTTGAAGCATTAAAGCCTTTCTTTCCTTCCAGATAACTGATGCTAAATACAGGTTTCTGTTTCATGCCAGCAGCACTTTACTGAGGTATAATATAAAGGCAGTAACTGACATGACTGAACAGGGCTTCCCTGGGGGCTCAGACGGTAAAGAATCCGCCTGCAATGCGGGAGACCTTGGTTCCATCCCTGGGTAGGGAAGATCCTCTGGAGAAGGGCACGGCAACCCACTCCAGTGTTCCTGCCTGGAGAATCCCCGCGGGCAGAGGAGCTTGGAGGGCTGCAGTCCATGGGGTCGAAAGAGTCGGACACGACTGAGCAGTGAAGCACAGCACATACAGCGACTGAACGACAGCAAAATTCACTAACTGTTGCGGTTTAAGTGCGCAGACTAGTGGATTTTGATAGCATACATGTACACATATAACCATCACACAGATCGAGGTATAGAAGATTTCCATAGCCCAGGGAATCCTTCCTGTTCCTTTCCAGACCATCCTTCTTCCCTCATCCTCCAGAGGCGACCACTATCTGTTTTCTATTACCACGGGTTAGTCTGTCTACCTGAACTTCGTAGAAAGGAAATCTTTATGTCTGGCTTCTTTCATTCATCATAACTTTCTTTTTTGAGATTTGGCCATGTTGTTGTATGTATCAATGGTTCATTTCTTTAAAAAATGCTGAGTACGAATAGACTGCAATTCATTTATCCTTCCTTCTGTCTTTACACATTTGAGTTGTTTTCAGTGTTGAGTTTCTATGAATAAAGTTGCAGTGGACGTTGCTGTCACGGTTGTTTTGGGTGAACATAGGCATTTGTTCTCATGAGTGCATACCAAAGAGGGGGAATTACTGGGACATAGGGTAGCTGTATCTTTAGCTTTATAAGAAACTGGAAAACGATTCTCAAAAGTCCTATAATCTTATACTGATCATACCAAGAGTCAGAAAGCACATGGAGAAATTGGAGTTCTCACTGCAGGAGTTCCCACATTGCAGGTGGGAATGTCTTGGAAGTTGTTTAAAACACATCCAATTCCTTCAACAAAGTAGGATAATTCAGATTTTATTATTATTTTAGTTTGTAAAGCTTCTGTTTATTAGGGAATTTGTCTATTTTCTCTGTTATCAAATTTATTGGCATAATGTTGGTTATACTATCTCTTTATTCTATTTTATGATATCTATAGGATCTGTAGTAATGCCCTTTTAAAATTTAAAAAATCTTGGTACTTGGAAGTTCTATTAATCTTTTCAAGGAAGCAAAGTTTGAGTTTTTGTTGAGTTTTTAAAAATCTATTTTTATTAACAGCTTTGTTGAGGTGTAATTGATATTCATCTATTTTTTACGTCATTGATCTTTTTCTCATCTTTACTACTTCTTTCATTCTATTTTCTTTGGGTTTAATTTGATCTTCCTTTTCTAGCTTCTTGAAGTGGAAGCTTAGATAATCAATTCAAGACATTTCCCCCTTAGTGTTGTCATTTAGAACTCTAAGCACTGCTTTAATATCATCCCCATCCCAAATTTTCATATTTATTTCATTAGTGCTCAGTTTAAAATATTTGCTTATTTCCGTTTTAACTTATTTTTCCTGCATAGTTTATTTAAGAGTGTATTCTTTAATTTCTTTTAGTTACAAATTACTAACATTGTTGGGCTTCCCTTGTAGTTCAGTTGGTAAAGAATCCTCCTGCAATGCAGCGGGCCTGGGTTTGATTCCTGGATTGGGAAGATCCCCTGGAGAAGGAAACGGTGACCCACTCCAGTATTCTGGCCTGAGAACCCCATGGACGGAGGAGCCTGGTGGGCGACAGTCTATGGGACCACAAGTGTTGGACGTGACTTAGCGACTAAACCACCACCACCACTAGCGTTATTCATTTAATTCATTGTGGAGAGAACTTGTTTGTCTTGATTTCATTTCTTTGTGATTTATTGAGACCTGACCAGCATATAATCCATTTTGGTGGATGTTCCACATAAACTTGAATTTGGATTCTTCTGGCTTTGGGGGTGTAGCATTCCATGTATATCAATTAGATCAATTTAGATAGTGGGATTCAACTATCTGCCCTTACTGACTTTGACCTACTTTTTCTACACATTACTGAAGAGAAGGGTTCTCATATCCACCTATGTATTTTCCTCATGTGTTTTGAAGCTGTGTTGTTGGGTATGTAAAGATGTATGATCGCTGTGTCCTTCTGAAAAATTCATGCTTCCCTTTATCTCTGGCTGTGCTATTTTCCTTAAAGTCTCTTGTTCAATAATCACGTAGCCAGCCTAGCTTCTTTATCTTAGTGCTTCCATGGAATATAATTTTTCATTCTCTTGCCTTTAACCAATCTATGCCTTATCTTTAAACAGTGTCCCCTATAAAGAGCATATGGCACAAATGCCTATGGCTGATACATATTGGTGTATGGTAAAACCATCACAGTTTTGTAAAGCAATTATCCTCCAATTAAGATAAATAAATAAATTTAAACAATAGGAAAAAAAAAACCAAACAGCAGGTTATCCATATCATAAAAAAAATCCCTTATTCTCCCATTAGCATGATTCCAGCTACAATCCTTCATAAAGAGTAAAAGTCACTATTAATGAGCATAGAGACAAAGCATAAAGAAAGGGTAACTACAATATTGTAATTAGCCTCCAACTAATAAAAATAAATGGTAAAAAAAATTAAAAAAAATACATGTCTTCATAATATGAAAAATAAAAGAAGGCGTAACTGGAAAACTCAAGCATGTTTACTTTGGGGAATGGGAGGTTGGATGTGGTGATTGGTTTACTAGGATTATGTGATCTTTTAGCTCTGTGCTATCAGAGAGTAGCCCTGGGACTCTGAGAATTTGGGGGGTAGACTAAAGAGAAAGAGGGAAAGAAAAAGGAGGCAGAGGGAACCAGCCAAACAAATTTCACAAAGCTTGCAGCTTTCCTTACAGAGCTGTAGTTCTTGCCCACTTCCGAGGTGCCAGTGAAAGCATTCCTTCTTTAGGGTAAGCTTCATATGGCATTGATGCTACTGATGCTTATCTCTCTGGGGAGAATGTGGGTGAGGATGAAGGACCTTATTGAAGCTGCATCCGTTGGGAACTGAATTTTACAAATGACTTCTCTGATTGCGCCTTTTATGTCTTTGTTCCTCAGACTGTAGGTCAAAGTGTTGAGCATAGGGATGACCACAGTGTAAAAGACACAATCTTGCTCTCCTCTTGGGATTTTGTCTGAGTTACTTCTCTGGCACATGAAGGCAAGTGTCCCAGGGAAGAGAACAAAAGCAGTGAGATAGGAGGTGCAGGTGGAGAAGGTCTTGGCTTTCCCACCAGGAGACCTCATTCTCAGAATCTGAGAGTTCTGATGATGAGCCTGTAAGAGACCAGGATGATCGTGCCATTGGCCAGGAACATGCGTTTGGCAGGAAAGAGGATGACAGTCTCACTTTGTGTCATGCTGTGGGAGGCAAGCTTTAGCAGGGGTGGGAGATGGCAGAAGAAGTTGATTTGATTGTCATCACAGAAGGAGAGGGTAAATGTGCACATGGTACGCAGGATGGCCCCTGATAACCCATAGACGTAGGCCCTGGCCAACAAGCCCATACAGATGTCTGGAGACATCACCACGTTATAGCTCAGTGGACTGCTAATGGCAACAAAGCAGTCATAGGCCATCACAGCGAGCAGGAAGAGTGAACTGACAATGAAGACGATGATGGATTTGGTGAACTGATGGTGAAGATGGTGAAGAAAAAGAACTTGGGTGCACATTGGAAATAGGAGATGACCATTTTGCTTGTGGTCAGTGTGGCCAGGAGCGGAGGGGTGATGACCACAGTATAGCAGGCATCTAGCAGAGAAAGAAGGCCCAGGAAGAAGTCCATGGGGTGTGGAGTTGGGTGTCCCCTGGGGTTAGAATAAGCATCTCCACATTTCCCAGAAGGGCGACTAGATAGAAATTGGGAAACATCAGGAAGCGCGGAATGGTCAGTTCAGGGTGATCTGTGAAACCCACAAGAATGAACTCTGTCACAATGGTGAGATTTCTTCGGCCACAGGTTCCATGCAGCCGGGTGGCCTCAGAAGGAGAATGGAATTAGAGATTCCAGACCTGCAGGCCTTTGTCTTCCTTAGAGTCAGATGTTAGATGAAAATCTCATATTTTTCTGCTCAGAGAGAGAAAAAAATGTTATGATTTAAAGAATCTGCAGGCACTGCCCTGGTAGTCCAGTGGCTAAGACTCCGAGCTTCCAGTGCAGGGGGCCTGGGCTCGTGGCCCGGAAACTAGATCTCACATGCTGCAACTAAAAATTCCGCATGCCACAAAAGATTGAAGATTCCATGTTCTATAGCAAAGACCTGGTGCACCAAGTGAAGAAATAAATAACAATAAATAATAACAATAAAAGAATCTATAGCTGGCAGGTACTATGGAGAGTGTTCACCTATCTGTGTATCCTTCTGGAAAATGGACTCAGGGTAGGTATTTCTTCAGGTTCACTTGCTTGTTGTCTAAGGTCTAAGACCAGAGAAAATCTTAGACTATCAAGACTGGAAGGGACCAATCTGGAGTCTCTCTTTCCTAGAATATCCCCAACAGATGGTCACACAGCCCAGATGTACACGAGGGCTGCCTTGTATAGATTCCAAAGTTGGGCCCTGCCAACTCCCAGTAGGACGTAGACTGTGATGTGAATGCTGCCTCCAGAGTTGGTGGTTGGACGCGACGCCCTCGGTGGTTGGACGCAGAGTCCTCTGTTACCTGATGGGGACTTTCTGGGCACTCTACCTTTGGAAAATTCTTCCTGTTGGGAAAGCCACATTGCCCTTTCTGTATCTTCTACACATTAGTGTAGGGTTTCCCAGTTGGCACAGCGGGATGACCTGCCAGTGCAGGAGATGCAGGAGAGGCAGCTTTGATCCCTGGTCGGGAAGATCCCTTGGAGGAGGACATGGCAACCCACTCCAGTGTTCTTGCCTGGGAAACCCCATGGACAGAGGAGCCTGGCCGGCTGCAGTCCACAGGGCTGCAAAGGGTCGGACCCGACTGAGCGACCGAGTTTAAGGTTAAGTCTCCCACATTAGGATTACGCTTGATTCTGCACGTTGAGCAAGACCCCTCTCTCCCAAGACAGAAAGCAATCATGCCCACTCTTATCACGTCTCTTATTCTTCAAGTCAAACATTTCCAGTCATTTTAGCAATGCCTAGTGAGCCCTTTCATAATCTATTTTTGTTCTGCTATGAACATGGTTATCATCTGTCTGCTGGGATCTCTTTTTGGAGGGTCCTTGAGAGAAAGCAATTCTGTGAAAATCGTTAGATTTATGAGGCTCTTATTCTGTGTCGGACGTTTCCACATTAATTGACTGATTTCTCTCAATAATCCTGAAATAGGCGTTATGAATTTTCACTCTGAACTGTGTAAGCCGAGGGTCAGGAAGTTACAGTGGCTCGTCAAAGGATAAATTGCAGGTGCAGAAGCCAGAGCTTAAGCTGTGGTGTCAAGACTCCAGGGCTCTGCTTGTTTCATTACCCTACTCTGGTCCTCAACCACCATCCGTCTCCTTGAATTTTTAGCTTCCGGAGCCTAGAGGCACCTCATAGGAAGGGGGTTAAGAGAAATCAGGGTTGATTCTTCACTTTCTAGGGGTGGAATGGGTTCTTTGATAGCTATTCATTGTTCCAGGCGCTGCCCTCTGGAATGAAGCCTCTGGAATGAAGCCTCTGGGGGTGGGGGCGGAGACTTCTCCCTCAGGAATTCAGAGGCTCACTGGGAGGCTGGTTGGAGTCAGGATTAAAGACTTGTTTGGGAGCTAGGGGTTCTCACCAGCCAAAGAACTTCCATAAAACGTTTTGGGCTGTCTGTCAGTTTCAATCCTGAGGATTTCAAGGCTCATAAGACAAAATCAAATCCCTAGTATTTCAGATGCGGAGTACCGGGCCCACCAAGTTTCTGATGATTACCATGTTAGATCTGCTGATTAGCCGCAGCTTGAGTGCCGACCACCCTGGCTCACCCCATCGCTCTCATCTCCTTCGACCGCAAGTGCCTTTCCTCCAGAGCACTGAGATTCCTGTGATTTTCCTGTGTTCCTACCTTTTGTTTCTTTCTGTCCCTCTGTGAAATGCTTCCCATCATTTTTCTCTTTTTTGCTGTCTCGTAACTTACACATGGTGTGGCTATTCACCACATGGAGGTCCATCATCTTACTGAAAAACTGAAAGAAAATTTTCCAGGACTTTATTTTATAGCTCAAATACATTAAAAAGAGAATTTGATGTATCCAGCTGCCTTTCTGGGAGGCAGTCCAAAAGTTAAAGAGTTGAACTATATAGCCGGGCCTACATGTTAATTGTTGTGTCCGAAGGATCAGTTATGTGGTACAAAACAGAGCTTCACGCCTTCACCTGGATTGTGGAAGATGCTGGCATTGTGATAGCTTTTTGAGACCCAAGTCTTGAAAACTCAGCTTGGAACTTACTAGTATAGACAAACTGAGTTTGTACTCACATCTATTATTCTGTTCCAAGACTCTCTAAATCCTTCTTTCAAAGCAGCATTCTTTATCCTCATTTAGGCACACACTCTATTTTTCCTTCTTTCCATAGAGATGAAAATTTAAAGACATGGAAGCATGCTTTAGAACATGCTTAACTAAATGTCCTCCAACTCTTTTTGCCACACTTGTCTCTGAATCTTAAGATTAGAAATGTAGGTTTCTTTGAAGCATTTGAAAGATTACTTTGAAAATTTCAGTATTTGGACTAAATAGCTAGTAAATTCAGATTTCTAAACAATCACATGCTTTGTAGACATAGCAATATCCCACAGCTTAGTTGGATTTGGGTTGGCTAATCCACCATCTATTTTCCAGAGTGGGCATAATCTTTTGGCTTCCAGGTGGCTCAGTGGTAAAGTATCTGCCTGCAATGCAGGAGATGCAAGAGGCAAGGGTTCGATCCCTGGTGGGGAGGGGGGTAAGATCCCCTGGAGGAGGAAATGGCAACCTGCTCCAGTATTCTTGCCTGGAAAATCCTACGGAGAGAGGAGCCTGGAGGCCTGCAGTGCATGGTCTTGCAAAGAGCCGGCCAACCAGTGAACATGCAGGCAGCATAACCTTTCAGTGCAGCCCTTGGACATGCCCCACAGCATTTGCATAACTTAGTTAACACAGCCTGAGAATAGGCACCTTCATTGGTGTCTTCAATAGGCCCTCATTGACCTAAAAAGAAACGTTCATCTGGCAACTTTCTTTAGGAGGTGGTAGCTAAAATTTGCATCTGTTCAAGACACTGTCTCCATGGGGAAACCTGACAGAGAGAACTTTCCTTGAAACTTAGTTATCAGCAGTTGTCTGCTGGATTCTGGGTGCACGTCTGTCCGATGTCTGACATTTGAACGTGACCTCGTGTCAGCAGAGCGTCTGGGTGAGTGGTTTGTCTTTCTCCCCAGGGACTGGGGGTCTCTGTGTCCACGGCCGTCAGGATGGGCTTACATGTTCTTCTCCAGCAGTTGGTGGGAGTAACCACGACCCTTACCAGGGCTCCTGGGCTTTACAAACACACGGACCCCTGGAGCCAGGAAGGACCTTGGCACGCTGTTCTGTGAGTTTCCCCTCTGCTCCTCAGAGGCCTCGGCCTTTGTGGAGATGCCTCGGGGGACACGGCAGGGGACGTAAGCAGGAGGCGGAGCGCGGACGGTTCAAACAACGCGGCGTTTCCTGACACGCTTGTGAACAGACAGGTACGTTTCCATCTTGTTTGGAGAGGGGGTCTGACCTTAAAGAAAGGTGGCCGTCTGCTCCACTACGTTCTTTTCGTTTGGCAGAAGAGAACACAGAAGCTCAGAGAAGTAACTGTCACCCAGCGTGTCAGAAGACACTGCTCCCACACCGCTGCCGGTGGGGCGTCTCCTGTGGGGCCCAGGACTGCCCGTGGGGCCGTGAGAGGGTAGCCCGGAGCTAACAGGCCCGGGACGGAGCCCCCGGGCTGGGAGGAGTGCGGCAGCGTAGTTGGGAGCCTCGGCGGCCAGGTCCCCGAGGCTTCCGAGTGGCCACCTCCCTCTCTGTGACGCCCATCTCCACGCCACCTTCTTTGTTAATGGGGGGTTTTTGCCGCACATCAGTGTGAACCAGCCACAGGCATGCGCGTCCCCCTCCTGAGCCCGCCTGCCCCCGGCTCCCCACCGCCCCTCCAGCTTGTCTCGGCGCTGGCTCTGGGCCCCTGTGTCACAGAGCAGGCCCGCTGGCTGACGGTTTGACAAGTGGTGATGGATACGCGTCAGTGCTGTTCTCTCAAATCCCCCCGCCCTCGCCTTCTCCCACTGAGTCCGAAAGCCTGTGCTTTATGTCTGCGTCTCCTTTGCTGCCTAACACTTGGGATCATCGGTACCGTCCTTCGAGACTCCATATGTATGTGTTAATATGCAGTATTTGTCATTCTCTTTCTGACTGACTTCACTCTGCATCAGGCTCTAGGTTCATCCACCCCATTAGAACTGACTCAGATGTGCTCCTTTTCATAGCCGAGTAATATTCCGTCATACATGTACCACAAAGTCCTTATCCATTTGCCTGCCGATGGACATCTAGGTTGCTTCCCTGTCCTAGCTATTATAAATAGTGCTGCAGTGAACACGGGTACACGTGTCTTTTTCAGTTTTGTTTGCTCTGGGTGTTTGCCCAGCAGTGGGATTTCTGGGTGGTGTGGTAGTTTTATTCCTAATTTTTTTAAGGGAATCTCCACACTGTTATCCATACTGGTTGTATCAGTTTGCATTCCCACCAACCGTGTAAGAGGGTTCCTTTTTCTCTACACTCTTTCCAGCATTTATTGTTTGTAGGCTATTCGATTTTGGTCAGCTGTTCTGACCAGTTCTACA